TTTTGTTACAAGCTACATACATGTTAATATTTCACTTATTGTCATCTTTATTTCTGTTTTTTAAATCTATACCACTGTAATTTTGAGGGACATATGAAATAAAATATTTAATCTTTATGCTAGATAATTTCAGACATTTTCAAATGAGCAGTTTTGGTCTCACTCTTCATATACCCTTTCAGTAATCAATGGACAACACTACTGTGGAATGTAGGAAATATATATTTTAAAAACGACTCTTGAAATCTGTGTATGAAGAAAATAAAATTTTATGTGCTAGAGCAGTGATGGCGAACCTTTTAGAGACCGAGTGCCCAAACTGCAACCCAAAACCCACTTATGTATCATTGGGTGCTGGGTGGGTGTGGCCCATTGGGTAGACGTGGCTCATTGGGTGAGCATGGCTGCGATGGTAATGGCAGACTGGGTGGGACTAAAAAGTTCAATCAATCAATTCCAACTTCGTGAGATCTTTTTTTTTCCCGCAAGAAGTTGAAACTGATTGGTTGAATCTCTCTTTTTTTTTTTTTTTGCACATGGTGGCGGAGGCCTAAAGTGAAAAGGTTTTATAAAACCCAGCTGAAGGCCTAGGACTGGGGTGACGGCGCGCGTTCCCACAAAAAGGGTTTTGCGTGCCACCTGTGGCACGCATGCCATAGGTTCACCACCACGGTGCTAGAGCATCATAAATAAGAGTTTGGATTATAAAAAAAAAACCCTGACTTTTAAAGTACCGAATAAAAATCTACTTTGTAATCATAGGGAAGCAAAAAGGCACCTGGTGGCTATACTTTTCATCCATTTAAAATAAATTATTGTGAGGGAAATACCAGAATACAGGTAATCCTTGACTTATAATAGTTCATTTAGTGACTGTTCAAAGTTACAACTTGACTGAAATAAGTGACTGTTTTTCACATGACTGTTGCAGCATCCTGATGGTCACAAGATCAAAATTTGGATCCTTGGCAACTGGTTCATATTTATGATGGTTGCAGTGTCCCAGGATCATGTGATCACTTTTTGTGACCCTCCGACCCCCTCACTTAACAACTGCAGCAAGAAGGGTCATACAATGGGGCAAAATTTATTTAACAACTCACTTATCAACAGAATTTTGGGTTCAATTGTGGTTTTAAGTTGTGGTCTACCTATACAGAGTTGTGTCAACTGTTTTTTTTATATAATTAGGTTCTATAGCCTATTCGTATAAAATCTGGTGGCTTTCAATTTGACATTATTAATAAAAATACATATAAGCTAAAAATAGGCCACAAGGCAAGTTGAGATAATTTAGAAAGTAAGTTTTGTGGCAACTCTCTAAAACAGGGGGGATCAAACTGGTGGCCCGCTGGTTGGATGCATCACGCACAGGCCACACCACCCCAGCTCCGCAAAGGCAAAAAACGCCACAATGCATCACATGACACCAGTGTCCTAAGTAATGCCTCCCAAATTTATTCCCTCATTACCCAAAGCCTGTTTTTTTCAATCTAAGATTAATATTCCCAGTCATTTACTTAGTAATTTTCACTTTAAACATAAATTGATAATAACTTTAGGAAGTGTGCTGCACTCAAGTATTTTGAGGGCCATATGCAGATCCAGGCATCATGTTGAGCTCTTGTACTCTTAACAATAGAAATATATGTTTCAGTTACTTTAGGACTGATTGTAAATTTAAATCATATAGAATTAGGGTTAAGCAATGAGGTGTCTACGTTTTCACGTTGTTCAGAGTGTTAAATGGGAATTGCAAGGAACTCAAAAGCAATCTCTCCACATTGTATGCAAATACAATTCAATATCTACAAGTATAAATTTATATAGCTGCCATTATACCTACATAACTCCTGGCAGTTCACACGGTTAAAAGATAACAAAAATAACCAAAACAAAAGAAACTCCATTAAAATCAAATTAAGCTATTAAAACAAGTTCCCTGGAAGAATACAGTTCATACATTACAAACAATATAAACATTTGCTGGCTCCATACCTCCACTGGATCTCCAGGCATGAAAGGCCTTACAGAATAGAATAAATAGAATAATTTACTAATTGATTAGTCTTACAACCATATCAATAAGATGAAAGAAAAATAAAATACTTAAGAAGTTCCAAGATAAAATAGATAGAAAGGTAAACACAATGATAAAATATGTTGATAATACAATGAGTCAGCAATCATACAATGAGTCAACCAATTTAAATTAAAAAGCGGTTCTGCTTACAATATATACATTAGAACCCAGGTGGAAAGAAATTAATCTGTAATTCAGTTCCCGACATGCTGTTTTTTCCAATAAGGATGAGAAGTTTCTAAGCCTAAAAGCGGCATATTATTAATAGTTGAGCAAACATAAACAATATTTTCAATGGTTGAGGTATTAGACTTCCAGAAAGCCAAAGATGCTGGCATGTGGGTGTGCACATACAGAGAGATACACACACTAATCCTTATAGATTAATCATCTCTGATATGGCAGTGGCTGACAAGAAAAGGAATCTTAGATCACAGTGTGCTTAAAATGTCTAATTAAAATGTTAACACAGCATGTAGCTGCTGAGAAGGATAGATAATGCCATGTTTTGAATCATTAGAAAAGAACTGCAAAATTAATGCCTTTATATAAATCTCTAGTGAGAGCACACTTTGAATATTATGCATACCCCTTAAGAAAGATATGATACAATTAGAAATGATATGAAGAAAACCTATTAACATTTTTAGGGATCTGCAGCAGGTCCCTTATGAGAAAACACTGCAACAGTTGAGCTTTTTCAGTTTGAAATGAGGGGAGGGGGGGACGTACAAGGACAGATGGTAGAAGCCTACAAAATCATAATGTGGAGAGAAAATTTTCTTGATCTCTCACAGGACTAGAACTTGAGATCATTCACTAAAACTGAACACCTGTTCATTCAGGTCTGACAAAAGGAATGCTTTTCAAAGAGCAGACAATTAACAATGGAATCTGCAGTCTGCAGTTGTGCTGACAGTAATCGATGTGATGGTTCTAAAAGTGACTGAACCAGGGTCATGGAATATCACAGTATCAATGACTATTAATATTGATTAATACTTGAAACATAGGTTGCATATTTCAATACTAATTGCTGGGAAGTGACAGCAGAAGGGACAATCCCCCTCCACTGAGGCTTGTCAGTTTCCCAAATTCTTCTAATTGGCCAAAATGTGACACAAAATATTGGACAATATGACTTTAGCTTCTGAAACGAGGAGGAGAAACAAGGGGCAGCAAAATACAACACTTGCCCTGTGATATCAACATAAAAATATGTCACCTATTTGACTAGTTACTGACATTAAGAGCAGGAATCTTCTTTGGTTAAAAGGCCAGCAAGAATATATATGGGAATGCAGCTGACCATGAGGTGCAGTGCCAGTTTTGGATACTTGATAGAAGAGGGTTGTATAGCCAGATTTTCTTCTGACTTAACACTCCACATCTTTTTTCTTTTCTTTCTTTTTTTTAAAAAACAAAGACAAAATCTAATACAAATTAATGTAAAGTGAGAAAAAGAAATGAAGAAAATAATCAAAGAGAAAGTTAAAGGTGCAAGAAAAAGATAAGACAAATAAAAACAAAAAGTAGCTTCCAAACTTTATAGCACATGTGTACAATTATAAATTTATCTTACACTATGATTACAAAATAATTCTGTTTCTATAATCTAGTCTGTCTAATCATTGAAACTTCATTTTCCATTTTACACAAAAAGTAATACGTTTCCAGTCAGCAATAAATGTCACATTTCATTTTATTAGTGTTGCCCAGGGAGCAAAATCAGAATCTCCTTTGATTAATATGCTGGACAGTGAAATGTAATCATAATTTTCTGACCATTCAAATTTGATTTAAAGCTGTGCAACACTTTCAATACAAAGGGAAATGTATTTCTGAGCACCAATGAGCACGCACATAGCATGTTGAAAAGCCTTAAAATAACTGCATCTTTTTCCAGGCTGTAGCAAGACCAAAGTTCTTAGATAATGTAATTGGAGAGACTAAAAAATATACCTAGGTTTTAGTCTTCTAAAATCAGCAATTTGCTCAACCTGATACCTTCTGCGTGGCCCTGCAACAAATGCCAAAACTAGGAAAACCTATTTGACCAGGTTTGTCTCATCATTATAGTTGTCTTCAGTCACCAGTGTGCAATGCAATGTCCGGCACTCTTTGATCCTAAAAAACAAGGGAAAAAAAGACCACTCTTATCATTTTCTCTGTGTCTTTCGCTTTCTAGGAGCAGTCGCTTCCAACTGCTTCGACCTCGGATATATTTGTTCTATTTTTCTTCCAAATTCCCCAAAGCCACGGAGAAACCACGTCCGAGGAAAATACACTCACGAGAGGGATGCCTTTGGTGGGAGGGAAAACTCACCTCTTTCACTGTACTATGCTTTGCAGTTCGGGGACAGAAGGAACTAGGCAGCCTCAAAGAGAACTGCACCAGTTGCATTTCTGCCCTCCCCATAGCAGGGTACAGAGAGGAAAAGTAAGGGGCAGATATTGGGAAGTGAGGCGGGGGGGGGGAGAGAGAAATGCAGGGCCCGCAGCAAGTTGTTGGGAGGACTGCGGGTCGACTTTCCTTGGGGAAGAAAGAAAGTCAGAATAAAGACAGACTCCTTTATTGGACTAGACCAGGGGTAGGCAACCATGGTGGTTCAGGACTTCTGGGAGTTGAAGTCCACGAGTCATAAAAGAGCCAAGGTTGCCTACCCCTGGACTAGACCACTAGAGGACTCGGAGGTCCCTTCTAGCCCTATGATTCTATGAATCTCACTGCACTAGCGCAAACGGCTTCTAAAAGCCTCCCTCTTTTCCTTCTCTCTTCCCAAGCGCAAAGACAAGCGACTGCAACCAGAACAATGCAGCTGGTCCTCCAGGCCTGCAGATGGGGACAAATGACGGAAGTAGGCTCGGGAGTACTGATCGGCCCTCTGCTCCTCTAACCCGGAAGCGAGAAGAGCAACTTCGCGGTGGAGTCTTTGCCGTTTAACTACTGCGTGGATTCCCCCCCCCCGAAGCAGCGCGACGCCACGTGTCCTGGCCCGCCTCTCGCCTTCTCCTGCAGCCGGGCCCCGTTTCCCCGGCTTTGGCTTGAGCCCCCCGCCCCCTCGTGGGCTGTCCTGAGCTGCCGCTCGGCATTCAAGCAGGCAAGGGGCTTCCCGGCGGAGCTCGGGCTATGAGCGACGTGCCTCCTGCCCTCGGAGCGCCAGGTAAAGAGGCACGAATTCTGCTGAAGCACCCAGCGAACTTTTCCTCCTCCTCCGCTTAACCCTCTTCGGTCCCTTCGATCGCGGTCACGCACACACTAAAGCACGCCCAGGCCGTTGCAGGGCGAGCCCGACGTTGACAGCCGTAAGGGCCCGTTCCTTGACGGCGCTGGGCGTGAGAGGTCAGCAGCCCCCGCGCTCCCAATACGTACATCTTCCAAATCACGTACAGTCATATTGCGCTTGCCTTACTAGTCCTGGCCCTGGGTACAACAAGAGGGGGCTGTGTTTGTGCTAGACTTGCTCTTTCAAACGGTGGCAATTCAAATGGGGCCTTGTCTGTGTCTCTGGCCGCTGGGTTTGATTTTAAGGGAAAGCAGAGTTGCATCTCCCTGTGAAGGAATAGTGTTCTAAGATACACTTTATGCTTATTGCTGGGGATACTAACCTTTGTACCTTATACAGGTAGTCCTCGAATTACGACCACAATGAAGCCCAACGTTTTTGTTGCTAAGTGAGACGTTTCTTAAGCAACTTTGCCCCGTTTTATGACTCTTCTTGCCACAGTTGTTAAATGAGTCACTGCAGTTGTTAAGTTAGTCACTCGGTTGTTAAGTGAAGCTGGCTTCCTCATTGATTTGGCTTGTCAGAAGGTTGCAAAAGAGCATGAATGTGGGTCGGTTGCCAAGCATCTGAATTTTGATCATGTGACCCTGGGGACGCTGCAGTGGTTGTAAGTGTGAAAAAACGATCACAAGTAACTTCGAATGGTCACTAAATGAACTGTTGTAAGTTGAGGACTACCGGTAATCTTCTGTTGCCAAGTGCTGAATGCCAAGAAGAGAAATGTAATCTTTTAACTGTGAGATCTAATACATTTTTTTTATCCTGTTGCAGTCTTGCCAAGAATTGGCGGGAGCTTTGATTTTTCTAGCCCAAACTAGAGAGCCGTACAGGTTATTTCTACTGATAGTTTTTTTTATTTGGCGGGTATATGTATTTTATATTGTTCATCTCTGACCTTTTCCCCAAATCTGTGAGCTTCAAGAATTCTTGAACAAATTCTGTCATATTCTTAAATTTAAATTTAACACAACTGCAGTAACCTGCAACAGTAAGAAAACTTCTTAGAAAACATCTCTTGACATATAAAATATCTATCCCCTGACTTCTTAGAATAAGATAACTTTGACTTCCAGGAACATTAGACTAATAATTCCTATTGTTAGGTATGCTGGCTAAATTACAGGAGTTGTAGTTCAGTATTCCTGGAGGGAGTCAGGATGGAAATATCTGAAATAGAATTATATCTAAGCTAACTGATTAAGCCAAATTTCTTTCAGTTTAACCTCCGTTGTATATTTCCTTTCTTCCCAGCTCCAGCATCATACACCTGCATTACTTGCCGAGTAACTATCAAGGATGCAGAAGTTCAGCGAGCCCACTATAAAACTGACTGGCACAGGTATAACCTAAAGAGAAAAGTTGCTCAGATGCCCCCTGTCACTGCTGAGAACTTTCAAGAGAGAGTACTAGCCCAAAGAGCAGGACTGGAAGAACAGAACAAGGCCACTGCAACTTACTGTGTGGCTTGCAGCAAGCGATTTTCCAATTTCAATGCATATGCAAACCACCTGAAATCCAGGAAACATTTGGAGCTTGAGAAGAAGGCTGTCCAAGCAATCAGCAAGAAAGTGGAACTCTTAAATGAGAAGAATTTAGAGAAGGGCCTTACTCAAGAGAACGTTGACAAAGACACTATGAACACTGCTATCCAGCAAGCCATCAAAGCTCAGCCATCCTCGTCTCCAAAGAAGGTTGCCCTGTCTGCAGATGCCATTGGTGGTTCTTTCATGGAAGAAAGCAGCAGTTCGCTCCAGAGAAAAGAGCACGTGGAAAGACCACCTCGATTACACTGGTTTGAGCAACAGGCTAAGAAGCTGACACAACAGCCGTCTGACGATGAAGGAAAGGAGGAAGATATGGAGGAAGGTAATGACAAAAAGCAGTCTAAAGAAAAAGTTAAAACTAAAATGTGGATCTTGTAGTTGGGGGGGGGGAATGAAGCCCTGTATAATGTTCAGTTTGAAACTTTTGAAAGCAAATTTGCATCTTCTAGTGACACTGGGCTGCAGTATCTAATCAGATATTTGGGTTATGGAATGGAATATGCTATGGAATAATCCTTATTGAACAACAGGCCTTTATCTTGGATAAACAGTCATAAGATTGTGTTGCATTGAAAGCATGATATTAATGAAAAGAATGGTGTCATATAACAGGCATGTATTTTTTAAAAAACAACAAAATTAGAATATACAAAGTACTGTAAAAAAGAAAACCAAGTGTTTTAAAAGGCTTTTCTTTTGCTCCTACCTTAAGAAGTATTTCCTGTCATGTCCTCTAAATTGTATATAATTCTAAAGAAGTCCTTTGCTTCAGAATTAGATTTATTTTTACATCATTTTATGGTTGAATCATATAATATATAATATAATATGTAATATACATAATATGTAATTTTGGCTGGAATCTTGTTTTTCAGTGGACCAAAATTGCTTCATCCTCTACTATAATGTAAGTCCGTTGCCAAAAGAGCTTAAATTCTTAAAGGCAGCCATGAAGAAGAGTATCTGGGTCATATTTTGAGCTAGTTGATAATTTATGAGTTACCTTTGACCCATCATGTAGAATACAGTATTCACCAAACTAACCACTGCTATACCGGTCTGAGTTAGAATATAGGATTAATAAATTTGATTTCAAAAGAGCCTTTTGGAGCTCACAGATGTGGCACGTGTCTTCCAATCTTTAAAACAACTGTGTCGTTTCTCAGGGACATATGACAGCTGCAGAGAGTAGCTACATGCTTCTGGTTAAATTGTGGCTGCTCTAAAGAGTTGTTAACATGTGCTATACAATTATTTTCAAAGCACTGTCCTACTGGAATGTATTTTTCCAAAGCACTCAAGCTTATGCATTGCCTTAGGGAAATGATACTTCACAGAGAAAAGCTGGGCAGCTTGAAGGTTAAAAGTCAAACATTGGAATTGGTGTCAGAGTTTTTAAAGTGATGTTGAAAAATTCATTTTCTTAGCAAAATTAAAACAGTTAGTGACATCATTCTTCACTAGATCTAGTGGCATGCTGTTGTATTAAATTGTTTATATGCATCTTTTTAATGCAATTAAACCAGCTTAAGGTTTTGTTCTGATTTCTTATAGAAGGTTGGGAGGATATAGACTCAAATGAAGACATAGAGTCTGAAGAAGAGATAGAGGGAAACCCAGATGAAGCAGAAAACAGTGAACCGGGGAATGATGGGGCTGAACCTGATGCAATTCCTATAACAGACTGCTTATTCTGTTCTCACCATTCAAATTGTTTCATGAAGAATGTGGCCCACATGACAAAAGCCCATAGTTTTTTTATTCCAGACATAGAATACCTTGTAGATTTCAGAGGATTGATCAAGTATTTGGGTAAGTCTGTCAGAGCTTTCTCCTTCATAAATAGATAAACATTGTTACTGATTTTTAGGGAAGTTGTATATGTTATTTCTCTCAGTGTTTCCTTCTTCCTTATACATAACTGATTAATAAATATGGCATTTTTTAAAAAAAAATCACATTTTCTTAATAATGTAGGTGGAATTTTTAACATCAATTACATCAAGTTAGGGTTGGTGTGGATGGCATTTTAAAGATATATGAAATAGGATAAGATGTCCTGTTGGACAGAAGTTGACCTCTAGAAATAAAGACTATTCTATATAGAAGTCGACTATTGGATTTTCTCCTAGAATTTAATGCCCTTTAATAAACTTGATCTTACATCAGAATAAGGTTGAGCATGCACACATTGGGAGAGTATAATTATAGGCTTTGTGTAAACTGTACATAAAGGTAGACCTTGGGTTACAACCAATCAGGGTTACAACCAATCATTCAGTAACCATAAAAGTTATAGCAGAGCTGAATGAATGATACTTGCAACCAGTTCTTATAGTTCCAGCTGTTGCAGCATCCCTGTGGTCACATGATCACAATTTCCAATATTCTTGTTGGCTTCCTACAAGCAGAGTCAATGGTAAAGCTGGCAGGAGGTCAGAAGTTGTGATCATATGAGGTCCTCACTTGAAGATGGCAACCAGGACTACCAGCATTGCCCTTGCTAAGTTACTTAGCAAAGACAATTATAATCCAAGGACTACCTGTACAATATATAGATACTGGTTATGAAACAATTATATCTGTTCCTCTCACTAGTGGAATAAACCTGCATCAGAGGTTCTAGTAAGCTTTCATGTTCGGCTGAAAAGCTTATCTCCGAAATAATGTTAATCACGGGAAATGGAAATTACTTTTGCAATACATTCTACCATGATTACCGTAAATGCCGGCGTATAAGACGACTTCCGCGAGCGCTGAAATCGGCTCCAAAGATGGGGGTCGTCTTATACGCCGAGTCGTCTTATACGCCGGAAATACTAGTAGTTTCCGGCGTATAAGACGACGTTCTAGGAATGCGGCCCGGCTATAAAGACGGGGGTCGTCTTATACGCCGGGTCACCTTGTACGCCGGCATTTACGGTACTCCTTTTCTTGACAAGGAACCTTGACTGGGACTTGGCCAAGTTTGGAACACGGGTCATTTCATCCTTATTTTATTTGTTTCTAATTGCCTTTATTGTTACAGGCAACTTTTTTTTATGATAACTAAATTTCTAACAGTTAACTAAATTTCTATAGTTAACAATGAGGCAATTGGTAGAATGGCTACTCTGACTGCAAATCTATTGTCAAAAAAATGTTTGAGTAGTTCCATGATATGTAATAGAAGGGGGGGGGTGCAGGGTTAGTAAAAAAGCTGAATAGAGATTCTTGGCTGTAGCAGTGAGAACAGAAAGTAGTTTGATGCTAAATGTTAGGATGCAATTAATATTTTGAAGTCATACAAGATCAAAGGGCAATTCTTATCTCATTTCTTTCAATGCTCAGGAGAGAAGATTGGGGTTGGGAAGATCTGTCTATGGTGCAATGAGAAAGGGAAGTCCTTTTACACAATTAAAGCTGTGCAGGCACATATGAATGACAAAAGCCACTGCAAGCTCTTCATTGAGGGAGATGCTGCTTTGGAATTTGCGGACTTCTATGATTTCAGGTAGGAGCTGCATTGTTGGCGAAAAACATTGAATGTTTCGCTTAGGTAAAAATCTGATGGTGATGGCGCAGTTCTGGGGTGGTGTATGTGATGAATCTGCTTATGGATGACCAAAATTATAAGGCTACGTTCTAAGTTAGTAGTATCATCCTGTAACAGTTACTTGGGAATCACAAGGAACATGGAGTAATATTTTTACCAGAAGGACCCACAGCAAAGCCTTTTAAGTTAGAGTGCCCCTGTTTGCCTTGGCTCTAGGAGAACTGAACTTCCTATCATCGTCTGTGAGTGTGCTGCCTATAGACCTTGTATATCCTATAGTTGTCTAGATATAGTCACTGTAGATGCAACAAATACAATAGCGCAGCATTTGTATTGGCCTTTTGAAACCTGGAGGCACGTCTCCATTCTATCCGCCTGCATTTTGAGAAGTCAGGTGGGGTATACATTTCTTCTTCCTTTATGTGAATTATAAATATGCTGAACAATATACTGATAGCTTATTCAGCAGGAAGGAAATAGCTTATTAAAGGACATCATGTCCCTGCTTAAAAATGCATTCATTAAAGCTATATTTTACAAGATCCTTGTTCTTTTGCCCCACAACATGGAGGCAGCATGACTTAAACAAGACTCGAATTAGCACGTTATCCAGTCTTGCTGCAACAGTACTCTTCTAGATCAGGGGTGTCAAACGTCACGTGATGTGTCGCGACGTATCGTGACTTTTCCCATTGCCGGCAATGGGATGGGCGCGGTTTTGCTATGATGCATCCGGCCCATGGGCCGGCAGTTTGACACCCCTGTTCTAGATTAAATTGGAAGACCCCACATTAATTCCCTACATATAAAATATCAATTCAGTGGGGCGAGAGCTAGGTTGCACATTATCTGCATGTAATCCTGCAAATGCGATATTTATTTTATTTATCCCTCCCATCTCGCTGTCAAGTGACTCCGGGTGGCTTAAAAACAAAGGTAGAAAACATTAAAACATTTAACTAATGTTCATTTTAAACCTTAATGTTAAAAGCTAGAATACTACAGAATGGAGGTGGGACCTTCCTAGTTCACTAACTACCTCCAACATGGAACGCCCAGGGCCAGGGGTAGGCAACCTTGGCTCTTTTATAACTCGTGGACTTCAACTCCCAGAATTCCTGAGTCAGCCATGCTGACTCAGGAATTCTGGGAGAAAGTCCACGTATCATAAAAGAGCCAAAGTTGCCTACCCCTGGCCCAGGCCAATCAGCAAAGCAAGGTTTTGAGACTCTTACAAAAGACCAAGAGGGTGGGGGCAGATCTCACTTTGAGGAGTGTCTTGTTCCAAAGGGGGGGAGCCACAGCAGAAAAAGCCCTTCTCCAAAGTGCCTTTTATTGCATCTGGTGCATTTTTTATTTTCTTTTAGAGTTAACAGCTATCTCTGTTTCAGGAATCATTTTTTCCTAGGACTATTGCTTTGCTTTTGAATCATCTGTTTGAAAAAAATATGTCACTGGCAATCTGTTCTGTTTGTCTGTTCCTTAATTTCCTTCTGATCAGTTTTATTGAATAACCACTCCTCCAGTGGTTTAAGAGAACTCCAGGTCCTGTGGCTTATAACAAGGAGAAAATCTTGACTTGGGCCAGTTTTTCATGCCATATATAATTTTGTACATCTTGATCATGTTGCCCTTTACAGGCCTTTTTCTAGGTTAAAGATCTTAACTGTTCTAGCCTTTTCTTTGTAGAGAAGGTGTCAAACTAACAGATTATTTTAATTGAATTGGTTGTACTTTTTGCAGCTGTATTTTGCCCCGTTATAAATGTCTTGAGCAGAGCAATATACATTATTTAGCTGTGGTCATACCATAAATGACAACATTGGCTGCTTTCTTTTAAGCCCCTTATCTAATAATCCCTAGGTAGGTTCACTGCATTAAATTATAAAAATAATAAAGGTGGGATAAAGATAAATAGATCTTAGTCTCATCATGATAAAATATAGGATGCAAGGAAAAGAGATAGCAAGGCTCTAATTTTAATAGTCAAGGTTCTTACAACAATCAGCTATAGTACAGCTTCATGACTAATAGGATGGAAGCAGCTGAGTGGGAAGAGGAAGCAAAATTGTGGGTCCTTAATTGAATGCATGATTACCCAGGAGGCAGGATTAAGGAAGATACGCTTTTTTTTTTTTATCTTGAGCAAACTGTTTTTCTCCTTGGTCGCAAAGCTCCCACAATTATATTTCTTAGCAGCACAAGATACTCATTTTCAGACTCTGCTATTTTAGCAGCTATTTTTTCAGACAGTCTCTTCTCATTTTTAAAGGCAAAATGTTGGCCCTCTTATAGGAGCAGTTATCCTGATTACCAAGAAGGGGAGGATGTAGAGATGCCTGAACAATTGCCATCAGAAAAGAAATTGGACTATGACGATGAAACTATGGAGCTGATTTTACCTTCAGGTACGTGACACTACGGAAATAAGCCATGATTGTCTTGCTATGCTAACTTTCTGTTATTGCAGTTTAGAAGGATGCAATCTAGTCTGGGGCAGGGTGGTACAGGAATACATATATATGGCTTCTAGGTTTCTTGGTTGATTATCTGCCTTTTCTGTGAAAAAACTTATGCTTTTGTACCTATTCCATCCACTGCAGGACGTGGGAAACTGCTGTAAGGATGGATTTGATTTAGGACGGGTAGGGAACCTCGGCTCTTTTATGACTCATGGACTTCAACTCCCAGAATTCCTGAGTCAGCATAGCTGACTCAGGAATTCTGGGAGTTGAAGTCCATGAGTCATAAAAGAGCCAAGGTTGCCGACCCCTGATTTAGGACAAGGTTGTGGGCTTGGGAATTCTAGAAGTTCAAATGCACACATCTTAAGGCTGGTAAGATTGAGAAACACCGGTCTAGGAATTGGATACTGGCAGAAAACCGATCCTTCGGTCTTTCAATTAGAAGCCTAGAAATGTTGAGATCCATTTGAGAGAGCCCCTTGGAAAACTATTCTGTAAGAGTAACATTATTCTGGACTCATTTCTCCGTTCCCTCATTTTCTTTTTACACTAATTATCTCACAAAATTAGTTATCGGCAAAGACATTTGCACTGTCTTTAATCCGAAGAAGTGTCTCCTGTAAAAAAGATCAACAATTGTGTGAATAACCATTTCCTAAGTGCCAAGAATTGTAATCTGTCCTAAGTAACTCTAGTTCTACTTTTCATGCAGCAATTAGATCATTACATCACTTCTCTTTTGGATATGGGAATCTGATTCGAAAGTTTGTAATGCACTTTACATGGGATTGCCCTGGAAACTTACCCGGAAGCTCTTACTAGTTCAGAATACGGTGGCACAAATAAACAAAAGGCGTACTTTGTTACGTCCATGAACACCAGAGCTCTGTGAGCTGGGTTGATTCCCTATAAATTTCTGGATTTCATTCGGTATGTTGATTATCCCCGATAAAGCCCTTTAAGGCACTGAATAATTAATATGGTTGCCCAGAGTTTGATATAATATGGCAGTTATATAAAAATTTTAAATAAAATACAATTAAATTATTTTCAATTGTCTCTATCCCATAAGATTCAGCAGGATGGGTGTGCTTCAGGTTCTTTTTTTTTTAAACCAGACCACCTATGGGAGAGGAGACAGAGATGCACTTTCTCTTTCACAGCACCTGCCGTACGGAACATTATTCCCTCTGAAGTTTGGATGGCTCAGACCCGGCTGGCCTTCCTTAAGCCCTGGTTCTTTGCTCAGACACTTCAGAATTAAAGTTTTTTTGCACGGACTGTACAGTTTTTGGCCTGTTTTGTTTCCTTTTAGCTGATTCTGTTTGCTGGTTTCTTTTTCTAATTCTTTTGTTTTCATGCTTCTGTACAATTATAAGCCATTCAAGATTGCAGCCTTATAAAGCAAATTAATACAGAAACAAATAATTTGAAGTACAAAATGTTTGCAAGAGGCTGGGTGTTAAGAAAAAAAAACATGAACGTCATCGATATGATTTCCTTACCATAATTTATCATAATTTATAAGTGTGCCATTGTGCCAGCTGGCACCTATCTTCACCCAGACTACTCAAAAACAGCCTCCATTGGACTGTTTAAATGAGATTTTTATTTTTATCTGCCTGTGGCACTTTGCCCTTGCGAGCAAAAAAGGAATCAGTTTATTTGAAGTTCCTTTTGCTGATTAGTTTTTCAAATCATGCAATATGCAACCCTTTTGAATAACATATGGGCAGCTTTTTTTAATCATAGGGGTCAGGGAAGGATACCAGATGGGACTTACATCTGGATACTTTTAAGTAGAAATGATGGGAAGTACATTGTGTAAACCCTTTCAGTGAGCATATTGAGAGTGATAGAATTGTTTTGCAGAATTTGGCTTGACAATTTCCATACAGACTCCTAAGAGCCTTCATGTGCTGAATTGTTTCTCTGGCTTCCAATATGCTGTTTGAAGAATAAAGAATCTTTTCCCTCTTTCCCTACATCACAAGTTCAGCAGGAATGATTCAATGTGCAGGGCACACTTCTGCTAGACATGAAGCAGGTCTATCCCTGTAAACAAATTGGAATTACATAAGATGCTATAGTATTGGGTTAATGGATAAGAAAAGGTTACACTTAAAATAACAGGAAAATGAAGTGACTTATATAACAGTTTTAAAAATTTGTTCTTTAAAACTTAAAGTGATCTGGATGAAGTAATACAGAATATTGAATGTTGGTGTTCTGACCTTTATTTTTTCACAATTACCTAAAAAGCATTTTGGGGATAAGATGCTATAGGATTACCGATGGGTACAGTTGATCTCAAATAACTTGATAAAGCAGAGATACACATGAAATAAAATAAATGGTTATTTCTAGCATATGGTATATTATTTATTGGAATAAATTTTACTGCAGAGATTTTACTTTCTTTTAAAGAATCTATGGGACATTGCTCATATCCTCTGGAATAAATAATACATGGTTGGAACTTTATTCCTGAAAGTATATTTTATTCACTCTGTTGTGTCAGTCTCATTACACTGGATAAAGCCCAATTATTCATAATTACTCGTTTATATGCTCTAAAATATTTTAATTGTATTTTTTATTGTATTGCATTTTACACTTAGAAGTGCATGACATGACAAATGTTATAGGAAAAATTAAATACATAAATAATGTAGGATAAAAAATAATCTGAGCGTTAGGATCAAGACATTGATACAGAACGTATTTTAATAAGCACTTGATAGTGCTATATACCTTTTGAGTTACAACGTATCAGTAAGAAGCAAAGAAGCTTGTTTATCCCTATAATCTTAGAGACGGTTTATCATCAAAAAAGGCCATTCTCGATCATTAGCATATTCACATGGGCAGGAATACCATTCAGGTCTGTGCATGGCCACATATACCAGCAGTGACTCATTCATTCAACTGCTCTTAAAACTATATTCTTTGATATGTAGTAACTTTTTCTGATATAAAATGGATGGAAGCTGATGTTTTCTAATAATGCAGACTTTTCCTTGCCTTCGACTTGTAGTACTCTTAAATTAATTGTAATTCATGTCTGTTTTTCCAAAATGATTTTGAGAGAGATTTGGAAGTGGGGGGGGGGGAATAAGGAAAAGAAAGGTTTTAATCTAGGAATGTTTTTGTTGGTTCCATTTAAGTGTGATTCTCTACCTTTGGTGATAAAATCTGTGAAATTAATTTTTATAATGTAAAATGTTTGCTTTCTAAAATAATCCCTAATCAGGAGTGTGCATATGGATCTTGAACAGGGCAAATTGAGAGGAGAAAGAGATACTTTATCCATTTGAAGTTGTTAAATATTTGACCTCACCCTGAGGATAAAATTCCAAATCTTAGATTTCTTGCCCTGATTCTTCAACTAATTTCTCGTGATACATGTATGACATATCTGAATCCCTCAGATTAATAGTTGATTATCCTCCAATCATTTATGAATGGAGCGAATATGAAAAATATTTGGTGAACATTTGGAAAGAAAACAGAATAATGCAATAGCTCCAAAGTTAAGATTTCAAAATGTCAGTCAAACTCCAAGCTAACATTAGGGGATGGCCATGAAGCAAAAGAATTTTTTTGACCAAGCGTGTGTGTATGTGTGTGTGTGCATGTATATGTGCATGCATGTGCACATTATCTTCTCTAGAATGCCAGTGGGTTTCTTTTTTTTACAATACATATAATTTGTGGCCTGTATACTAAATAGTAGATTAACACACACACACCAAAAAAAATCAAGTTGTGCACAAATTTGGTGTACCCCTGAGCCATGTCAGAAAGTTTCATATATATGCCGGTTCTTCAAGACAAGACAAAATCTCAGTACCAAATTGAATGTTGACCATGGGGAAGCTTTGGTGTGATTCAGCAATTTAGACTGTTTTGGGAAAACAATACATTGTGTTTACGTTTTCAAAAGAGCTATGTTTAGCTTTTGTTTCTCCATAAAATGGCAAAGTGCACATAAAAATGGACGAGTGATTGACAGATCTACTTTCTTATCACAGGACACTATATTAGAATCTTTCCATTACACCGCTGTGGGAAGAACATTGAATCTTTCATTTCCTTGCAGTCATCTTATTCTTTTAAAACAAATATGTGTCACAGGTCCATAACTTAATTAAAACAAAGAATTTAAAGTAGCCTACTTTTCAAAGCCCCATAGTTATTTCTCTACAATTTATCTCCTCAGAAGGATCTGTTGTGCCTGCATATTTCATCCCAGGTTTTTAACAAAACAAAGTTAACATCAGTAAAAACTAGGAGCTGTGCTTCCAAACCTCCTTATAGACTTAGTTTTCCCTATTTCAATTACAATCTTTAATAAAAAGTAATTACAAGATAAATCTCACTATAGGCTCAGAGGTCCCAAAGAAATCGATCAGCTTTCAGAATTGGAATCCAAATGAAATTTAGCAATTCTCCTCAGATTTCCCTTTTGTGGGGGCATATGCCTTAGAGAGCATTCCAGAGTGAATTGCCAGTTACCTCCACAGTTACATGCTTTGGGGAAAGCGAACATTTCTCAGCTAGAGACACAGTACTCCTATTATAACAAAAAAGGTATTTCATATCTTTTATTACTTTAATATATGAATATTGGTTTTCATAAAGGTGCCAGGATTGGTCACCGTTCCTTGATGAGGTATTACAAGCAGCGATTTGGTTCTTCACGAGCAGTAGTGGTTTGCAAAAATAAACAGACAGTGAGCAGAGTGCTGCAGCAGTATAAAGCCCTCGGTTGGACAAGCAACTCAGGTGAGCAGATAAAAGCAGTATGTTTACATCAGTGTCTTACTAGCTTGCTTTTTCATTGTTTTTAACATATTTGCAAGTAAAAATATGTAAATAATAAAGAGCTTTTCCCTGAGAAGTATTTTCTTGAACCATAAGGTTCCTGTAAGTAGCTAAATCTAAACACTGGTGTTGACAGAACGCTTCTCTCCTACTCTGAACTGGATGTCGGGTTTTTAAGAACTGATACATTTTTAATTTGTGTTTTTGGCATATAACTTAATGTTGCCAGTTCTTCCAGCCACCTTCTTCCCTAATTATATCGGATTATTTATATGTACAGGGTGAAAATTCAGCATCGTGAAAGCAAAACTATATTCCAAGAGGGCTTTTTCTTATTTATCTGTGCGCCAATCCCTTTACTTACTCTGGGTGTTGGTGGAATCCTCTCCCCCTCATGGTTATTCTGCCAAAAAAATGTTACAGAATTCTACTGATAGCTCAAGTTCTCAGAAATTTCTAGCTAAGTACAGTTGAAAACAGAACGTTGGACTAGATACTCACTGAATTCCTATGTTGATCTGTTTGTTGGGCCAGAACAATAGGCAAACTCCATATAGGATAATTTCAAAACGTTTGTGAACATTTAAAGTGTAAAAGTAATTGCATTTCAATAGTGACAGATTTTATGGAGAACACAGTATATCTTAGCAGGTTTAAGCAGCTTTGTTTGTCTTGGAAAATAATTACGCTTTCTGGTGAGATTCAGATATTGGCTCTTTCTCCATTAATGCAGGAACAGCTCTGGCTCACGAGCGTGACATGCAGTACCTTCAAAGGATGAAAGCAAAGTGGATGCTGAAAACTAGCATGCAAAATAACATTACAAAGCAGATGCATTTCCGCTCACAAATCCAGTTCTAAGAGCACAATAAAAAGTGTTCAGTATTGGATGCCGCAAATATATGGTTGATGCCTTACCAGTGGTTGCGTTTAGGCTGCTATTTCAAATATTTCAGTTGAATGTTGTCAGTCAGACCTGCTCAATAAAGGATATGCATAAAATGTGTTGTAATTTGGTGACAGTATTGCATCCCAGTAATGTGTACTATGTAGCTGGGGTTAAGGTGTATCTCTTCTCTTGGGCTTTCAGATAATATGCCTCATTCTGGCATGACACTTGTAACCATTTCACACATTCTAGTTTAGTGAACTATTTCGCTTACTGGTTGGTAAACCACTATTGTATTAAAACCTCATATAATTGGAAATTTACTAAGAATAATTTTGAATTGTTGACTGCCTGCTTTGCATTATTAAAGTGTTCAAGCAGTTCTCTGCTATTCCCAAAGGTAATTTGAGGTAATAAAACATTCCAGATGGCTAGAAGGGGTTGTGGGAACAATTTTTATTAACTTATCTTCTGATAAATCAGTGTTTTATAATTGGCAAGATCCTCCACAATTTTTTCAAAGTGCTTAGTAGGATGTAATATTCCAAAATTCCAGTTGTGGCTACTAGCCCCAAAATGTTGGGGACCTTTGCACTTAGGCAAATTACTACAGCATGGTTTAACATCTTAGATAGAGACAATTCCCATAATGAACTTAATGCTGCCCATATACTGGATTTTACTGAAAGTAGAAGGCAGATCTGTATATTATTATCTAATGTAAAACAGATAAGTTTATACATCTTCCAGTTAAATTACCTGAACTGTGTTGAATAATTGGTTAGGAAGAGGCATCTCATCTAGAGGGACATTTTTCAAGCAATACCATATGTGACTATATCATAAATGACCTTTCTCATTGCAAAATGACTGTGCATACAATTAACATTTATTACATTCAAATTATGTTGCTCAAAAAGATAAAAATAGGGGGAATGTGAATTATCAAGCGATGGAACTGCCTGACTTCCAAATATAATATTTTCTACATTCTCTTGACATGACAGTTTTAACATTTGTATTCATTTGCAAAAGAGTTATATCCTTACTTTGCAGAATATTTTCTTTTTAGATGGTATGCTATATTTTGTCACGTAAAATCATAGTACTGGGGACTTCTGGGCAAGAAACGGCAGACTGAAGAAGCCTCTGCAAAAATGTAGAAAATGATCATGATAGAATAAAGAGCCAGTGAGTAGACTGGCTATTGTAGTTCCTCTGCAGACAAAAGGGAGGACTTAAAATTACCCCAAAGTGCTCCAGACAATTGCTCCTTGTGAACAGACCATAGGACAATGGTTTCCTGCAGATTTAGAGCTCTGAGAGACAAGGAAATGACCATTTGGATCAAACCACAGTTGGTGTCTTCAAAAGGACACTGGATTCACAGACTTTTCTAATTACTTTTGAAAATTGCTCGTTAATTGCTTTTCAGCTATTAGGAACCTTTGGATTAATAAGTCTGAAAACATTGGGTGAATTTCCTTCAATCCTTCGCAAAAGAAGTTTTAAATAGAAGTTTTGTATGTTTCATTGAATGAACAGAAAAGGGGTGATTAGAACTTTCATTATGGAAAGTTACAAATGGACTAAGGGTCTAGATGGATTTGAAATAAGATTGTGGAATCTATACATTATTAAATCTCCTGTCTATAACCTTCAGTTGGGCAAAATGGTGCACCATAGGCCCAAATTTTTAAATCACAATACCTCAAAGGAAGTAATTTAAAGAATGCATCCAAAATCCAGGACCCATGGGACTCAACTGTGAAGGCTCTTCAGACCAGTTGTATTGGCAAAGTTGTGGCCACTATCGCATAGCCACACTACCTGCAGCACCGCTGAAGTCAGCCATAGTCATATGAACTTGATTTCCAATGCTCCCCGCCAGCTTCCCACATGCAAAATCAGTGGGGAAGCTGGCAGGAAGTTGGAAATAACTTCTGTTCCCACTGCTGTTGTGCTCACCGATGGTCATTCTGCCTATAACCGACAAGACTTTAATCAGTTTCACATGTTCAGCTTTTGTTTGCCTCCTAAGTGATTCAAGGCTCTAGCCTGCTAGGCAGACACCAATGCTAGGACATTGTTTTCTATGTGTATTCCCCATTGTATCCCTGCTTATTCTCTTGTAATCTCCAATAGATGTAAATGCTAATTACCCCAGTGCCAAGTGGGCATTCCAAAGGGTAGAGAAGTGGGTGGGGGAGGAAAACTGAACTAAAATCATAAACACGCCTGTAGTTGTGCAATTGTTCACTTAGCAACCATTTCACTTAATAACCAAATTGTTGGCCTGAATTCTGGTAACTAAACAAGAACTACCTATACTTACAAACATCAGCAACACTTTTCTGGGTCAACCCAAAATTATACTGAATATTTTGTTTCTATTTCCTATAAAGGCTGAGTTGATTCCATTGGAAATTTGGAAATCCTTACCCGCAATTACTGTTGAATTTTGTGGAGGGTGATGTGTACTATTAGTACCCGTTTTGCCCTTGCATTTCATGTAATTTGAAAGACTGGGGAGTTTGGTCAGCACTTCTTTCAATTAATGAAGTCATGTTTGACCTATGTGAAAGTCAGTTCTTTTTGTTGCAACACAGCAATGACTGCACAATAGTCAGTCTAGTCTCTGAATATAGCATTCTAATCTTGAAACACTCAATATTGCAAGCATGCATCAAATACTGAAATGGCTTCTAATCAATGCACTGTTAAAAAATGAGCAACAGACCTCTGCAGAATTATTCATATTGCAATACTAAGTTTCTTACACACTAGATTATCTTCTGCAAGAGTAATAGATTTCCTAAGGATTAACAATTACTAATCGACAGTACCATCAGTTTATGACAAGACTAGCAACAAGAAGATCAGTATTTTTTAAAAGAGTTTATTTTTTTTAAAATGAAAGGAAATAAACTGTCTTCTATGTTACTTAGAAGAAGATGGATTCAGTGATTCAAGTCCATTAAAAAAACATGTCAAGTCTTGCTACATGAGTAATAGAATTCATCAATCAAATTTGTCTTGAACTGCTCTTGTAAACTGAATCAAGGGGTTTGTCAATGTTGTATTGGAAAATTATCAAGAAGTACTGAAAATGCTATTTTTTCTTGAAATAACCTGAAAAGCATTATTAAAGTGATTCAGAAAGGATTATTAAGAATACATATATAGTATTTTAAAATGCGCCAATATCCCCAATGATTAAAAAAAAAAATTTGTATTGCATAGTTCACCCACCCACCCTTTATTATTCAATAGAATACAGTATTAGAAACTATGGGAAGGGCTTGGGATTCTGGCCATCTGTCTGTCTCTGACCCTCAGCAGGATAACTGAACAGAATGGATTAAAATTTGACAAGATGAGAAGCCAGAAAAAAAACAAACATGAATATATATCCCCACTGGAAAAGACAAGCAGCAGTGTGGAAAGTTGCTGTTATATTCTCAGCCTTCATCTCTTCAAGTCATGCGACCCCGAATGCAGAGTATGGAGCCCACCCTGTGCTTTTCAGCACACACGTACAGTATACCTTGCAACCTACCTAGAAGCATATACACAACCATGCATTTGATTACATGTGCAGTCACAAACATATTTTTCAGGTATAGGAGAAGTGAAATATGAAATCAGATATGATATGCAAAAGTTCTTGTTTGATACGAACTGGCCAAAGTGGTGGAATGTCAATTATTTCAAAAGGACAACTTTCATGCAGTCTGAAATGTTATTTGCTCAGCAATAATATCACGAGGACTTCTCTTAACCCCCTCTAGGCTTCCTGCCCTAAGTGACTTGATATTCCTAAGATTATTATAATTAAGGAATAAATCAAAAATTATAGAATGAGTTAATAGAAAGCAGAAAACTATAAAGAAGAGCCCCCAGAATAATTTTATTCATTCAAAGGTTTGTATTTTTACAAAATAAAAATGATCTTTAGTTCCAGACAAGACAAACAGTCTCTGTTACATAGCCTTTTACAGACACAACATTACGATTTTTCATAACTATAAATAATCACAATTCCAACAAACTGCACATGTGCACCAGGACGCCCACACAAATCCACAAGTATTTTGAATTCATGGTCCAATGTTGCAGCACAGGTTTCCAGACAGCTATTCCAAACAATAGATTACTCTCAGTGTTTCTTGAGTAAATTCTTTTCTCCAGGAATTTAGTTCTTCAGCTTTGCAATTTATTTCAGATCTTCATAAACATGTGTCTATCACTTATTGTAAGTGATATCATGACTGTATTTTACAAGTGGATCTTCAATTGTTGATGGGAAGAATTCAGTTATTTATGGGTAATCTCATTTTAGATACAGCAACTTTTTTTCTGATGTATGTTCAATAATATATCCTGCTACCTCCCAACAATTACTTTTATTTAAGAATTATTTGGGAAAGATAGGCATCACCTAAAACACAGTGCTGCAAAACTGCTGTCATTTCTCATTAGCACAAACATGGCGCCTTCATATTTTATCTTTGCCTTTTGTTTAATAATAGGAAGTGGCCATTATAGTCCAAGGCCTTTCCAGCTGCGGGCAACCATTCTACAGACCATTATTTCTCCATAGATTGTTTTGCCTTTCCATACAGTGTATTACAGCATTGCTTTGCCTCTGCCATAAATGTTACTAGTTTAAAATTTTCACTATTGAAGTACATTTTATGAAGAGAGCAGCATCTCTATCTCCTCAGCTACAGTTCTAACATAGATTGACTTCTTATTGCACATACAAGCTCTCACTTAACACCTTAAGTCATCTCTGCTGGTGACATTTTAGTTCACTAAGACAACTATTACAGTGTGAATGGCCTAGGACAGTGATGGTGAAACTTTTAGAGACCGAGTGCCCAAACTGCAACCTAAAACCCACTTATGTATCCCCAGGTGCCGGATGGGCATGGCCCACTGGGTGGGTGTAGCTATGGTGGTCATGGCAGACAGGGTAGGCATGGCCAGCTTGATGTTGCTCCTGGGGAGGAATGCCTGTGGGGTCCGGTTAGGTTTGAGGGAGATCCAGGGGGTCTCTGGTGGGTGGGGCAGTGGGCAGGAGGGTGTCTTGCTCAGCTGATGGCTGGGGGG